ACCCCTTCTAAACCCAGCCTGGACTTCTGGTAGTTCTCTGTTGATATGCTGTAGAAGCCAGCAACAGAGGAAAGTTCTGGACTGAGTCTTTTTCCACTTGATAGATAAATTATCTTAAGAAAGCTTGATCTCTGTGAACCTAAGTTATGTATGTCAGTTTGACAAGCTGGTAATTCTCAGAATTTAGCAAACATTAGACTGATTGCTCTTTTTTAATGTAATGTAATCCCTTCTGTGATATATGATTTGATATGATATGATATGATATGGTTAGCCGATCGGTTGTTAGAAGATTTTCCCTGGGAATGTGGCCTATATCCAGGATGTATAACTGTTCTGACAAAGTTCATTAGTTTATTTTCAAGCCTGCATCCTTTCACCAGTTCTTGGGACATGAACCCTAGTGTCATCTTACCTACAAATTTTAGAATTTGCTATATTTGTGCATAAAGAGCTGAAAACTGGCCATGACCACACAGGGCTGTGAAAGTATCTCTGAAAGGGCCAGAGGGAATGAGTATAGCACAGCCCCTCAGCACCCCAGAGCTGAAAGCAGATAAAAAGCCTATAGTCCAGCCCTGTGGTACCTCTAGAATCACACATGTAGCAAGAGGTTCATTATTTGTTGTAGACTCCCACTTGTGGTTCTAAAAATGGGGTTTATTAGGAAAGTACATTGGAGAGTGGAGGAGGCAAAGAATAGCAGCCATTTCAAGTCCAACTTTTATCCTAGCAGTCCCAAGATAACAATTCCTCAGTCTAAGCTCCAGTTTAGTTCATCAGTGAAATTCAAATCATCCAGCAAGGTTTGCCCCTGAGTAGTTATAAGTCAGGTTCTCTCTCTTTTTTTTTTTTAATATTAAGTTCAGTGAAAATTTACAGAGACTTTGGATTTCCATTCATTCATTGTTACACTTTTCTCCCCTCCCAACCCTCCCCCCTAGTATACTGCACTCTTGAAAAAGTAAAAGAAATATTCTTTCTTTCATTGTTTTACAATCTCTCCCCCCAGGTCCACTCCACTATGCAGCCTTCACTCTGGACTCCTGTCATGACAAAATACCTAATAACATACCCCCTTTCAACAGTTTTCTCCCTCAATGCAATATACATTATTGAACCCATCTTTCTTAGTCTCCCCCCAACCCCGAGGTCAGGCCTGTTTTACAACAGTGGCACCATGCAGTATTTGTCTTTTTGTGACTGAGATAGTTCACTCAGCATAATGTCCTCCAGGGTCACTCATTTTGAATAATATTGCATGAGTTCCTTGTTTTTCAGTGC